GGCTCGGCCGGACGGGGCAGCCCGTCAGGCCGGCCTGACATGAAGTTTCATCGAAAATCGTATACTTATCCCAAATATTTTCCTCACTCTCCCCCACAATCTCATATCTTAGAATTTATAGCCTACTGTTTTTGACGGTGGAAATTTGAAGATCAATAAGAAAAGCCAGGTAAGTTGTTAGGAAAATTTCATTGATTAATGCGATATATGAGTGTTATGGGCCTATTATTATTTGTATAATTTATTAGTTGTATTATTAGTTTAGTCATGGTGGGCCAAGGGCTTATTACTCTTCTACATATACATAGTATATATTATCGGCTTTGTACAGGAACAGGAGGGGGAATACGATACGATCAATATACTTCTTTGAACATGGTATCAGAGCATTGCAGGTAAAGCCCTGCGCACCGAAGGCAGACAAACGCTGCGAAGAAGACAGCACCAGCGTGTTTCGTCTTCAATGTTGCTATGACAGATCCTTCTTCGGCTAGACGTGGAGGAAGTGTACGTGTTCACACTGTTTCTGGCAGCAGCAGCACTGGGCCGTGCGGGCCTGGGAGCGTGACCGGCAATGGGGCAGTCTCCTCCGGTGAGACAAACACGCTAAATGAATTAACTCGGGAACAGGTTCGGGCACTTTTGAATTTGATTAACGTTGACCCTACTTCCTGTGATCGGATGTCGGGTATGTTTAATTCTTTACCATGGATTATTGATACCGGGGCGTCACACCACGTCACGGGTGATCTGTCTTGCTTGGTCCAACGTACCCGCATTGATGCATGCCCGGTTGGGTTGCCCGATGGGAGGACGGTGATTGCCGAAGTAGAGGGTCGTGTGCCTCTCAATAAATATCTGGTTTTGGATCGTGTACTTTATGTGCCTGGCTTGAATTGTCATCTTATATCTGTCTCCCAGCTGATTGATAAGAGTGCTTGTATTGTTGTTTTTACTAATTTATTTTGTGCTATTCAGGACCTACACTCGAGGAAGCTGATTGGAGCAGGTGAACGGAGAGATGGGCTATATTATTTCCGGGGGATTCCCGCACTACATGTTGTTCACATGACGGGTCTGTCAGATTTCGAGTTGTGGCATCGTCGTCTGGGTCATCCGTCAGAAAGGGTCATTAAACTATTACCTCATTTTATTACTAGTACTTCTGCGAAAAAACTGAGTAAAGCCTGCGAGGTGTGTCCGCAGGCCAAACAAGTTCGTGACTCTTTTCCTGTCAGCAATTTTCGCGCTAGTCGCATTTTGGAACTGATACATTGTGATTTGTGGGGTCCTTATAAAACCCCTTCTACTTGTGGTGCTGTTTATTTTCTTACTCTGGTTGATGACTTTTCACGGGCTGTATGGGTATACTTGTTGTGTGACAAAAAGGAAGTATTTCATTTTTTTACATCCTTTATTACTATGGTGGAGAAGCAATTTGAGGTCTCTGTGAAAACCATTCGTAGTGATAACGGGACAGAGTTTAAATGTATGCTTCCTTATTTTGATACCCGCGGAATAATCTTTCAGACCTCATGTGTCGAAACACCTCAGCAGAACGGTCGTGTTGAGAGGAAGCATCGTCACATTTTAAATGTGGCTAGGGCCTTGATGTTTCAGGCCAATATACCTATTCACTTATGGGGGGAGTGCGTGCTCACAGCCGTGCATGTCATTAATCGCACACCCTCCGGTTTGCTTGAAGGTAAGACCCCGCACCAGGTTCTCACCGGACAGGTTCCAGATTTTTCCCATTTACGGGTTTTTGGATGTTTGTGCTTCACATATAACTTGAAATCTCGGGGTGATAAGTTTGCGCCGCGGAGTAGGCGTTGTGTTTTTGTTGGATACTCTTTTGGCAAAAAGGGTTGGAAATTATATGATTGGGACACAGGTGATATCTTTGTTTCTAGAGATGTAAAATTCCATGAGGATATTTTTCCTTTTACCGAGCAATCAACCATGGCATCCCATCCTGAACCCATGCCCCATGAAGGGGGGGTGGTCATTTACGATGATCCCGTAGGGGTCTCCCAAACAGCTGCATCGGATGTACCCCCTACGGATACCACTTTGGCTGAGGGTCATGCAGACACGCCTCAAGTACCGGCTGCACCTCTTGGACGTGGCTTACGGGAGAAGCGCTCCTCTGTTCTCTTGCGGGATTTTGTCACTCATCACGTACGGAAATATAGCCCATCTCCTCCGCCATCTTCTCCTCTCTGTTCCTCAGGTACGCCATACCCTTTAGCACATTATATAAATTGTGAAAAATTTTCTTCACGCCACCGCCAGTTTCTTGGAGCTATTCTTGCAGGACAGGAACCACAGTCTTTCCGTGAGGCCATGACGGACCCTGGTTGGCGTGATGCCATGGCAAATGAAATTCGAGCTCTTGAAAACAATTGTACGTGGGATATGGTGGCGCTGCCTCCGGGAAAGAAAGCACTCGGTAGTAAATGGGTCTATAAAATCAAATATAATTCCGATGGCACGGTGGAACGGCTAAAGGCACGGCTGGTCGTTCTCGGGAACCATCAGCGCGCAGGTATTGACTATACAGAAACTTTTGCCCCTGTTGCTAAGATGGTCACTGTGCGCATGTTTTTAGCCATTGCTGCGGCTAAAAATTGGGAGTTGCACCAGATGGATGTGCATAACGCCTTCCTCCATGGTGATTTAGGTGAAGAGGTTTACATGAAACCTCCACCTGGTTTTTATTCTTCTCGGCCGACTACTGTTTGTAGGTTGAAGAAGTCTCTTTACGGCTTACGGCAAGCCCCACGATGTTGGTTTGCCAAACTTGCTACTTCCTTGCAGGATTATGGTTTTTCTCAGTCCAAATCCGATTATTCTTTGTTTACTTACCAACACGGTGACTGTCGGTTACATGTTCTTGTTTATGTCGATGATCTTATTATTGCTGGCGATGATTCTCTTGCTTTATCTCGTTTCAAGCAATATCTGCATAATTGTTTTCATATGAAAGATTTGGGACCTCTCAAATATTTTCTGGGTGTCGAGGTAGCTCGCAGTAGAGAGGGATTGTATCTTTGTCAACGAAAATATGCTTTGGATATTATTTCAGAAGCTGGTCTACTTGGTGCTAAACCTTCTCCTTCTCCTATGGAACAGAATCATTCTTTGGCACTTGCTACGGGGGATTTACTCTCTGATCCCGAATCATACCGACGTCTTGTGGGACGGCTTCTCTATTTATCCTTTACCAGACCAGATTTAGCCTATACTGTTCATATTTTATCTCAGTTTATGCAGGCCCCGCGTCAGGAACATTGGCAGGCTGCTTTACGGGTTGTTCGCTATATTAAGGGCGCACCTGGTCAGGGGATTCTTCTTTCTTCCTCCTCGGATTTCCACCTCTCGGCCTGGTGTGACTCGGATTGGGCGAGTTGCCCACTCACTCGTCGCTCGCTCACTGGTTGGTTAATTTTTTTGGGTGGTTCTCCTGTTTCTTGGAAGACTAAGAAGCAACATACTGTATCACGTTCTTCAACGGAGGCTGAATACCGGGCTATGGCCGCGGTCACTGCAGAGCTGAAGTGGCTCAAGGGGCTTCTACTTTCTCTCGGCATAGTTCATTCTCGACCTATGTCTTTGTTCTGTGACAGTCGCTCCGCTCTTCATATCGCCCAGAATCCTGTCTTCCACGAACGTACAAAGCACATTGAGGTGGATTGTCACTATGTACGAGACGCTATTCAGGATAATCTTCTTACCACGCACCATGTCTCTACAAATAATCAATTGGCAGATATATTCACTAAGGCTCTTGGACAACGGCAATTTCTATTTCTTCTTAGCAAGTTGGGCATTTTTAACCCTCATGCTCCAACTTGAGGGGGGGTGTTATGGGCCTATTATTATTTGTATAATTTATTAGTTGTATTATTAGTTTAGTCATGGTGGGCCAAGGGCTTATTACTCTTCTACATATACATAGTATATATTATCGGCTTTGTACAGGAACAGGAGGGGGAATACGATACGATCAATATACTTCTTTGAACAATGAGTATATTGATGTACATACAAAATTATACACAAAACATATACATGTACGAAATATTACGATTCGATAATTCGATGTATCATTTTGTCCATCACACACAGTAAAATTTTAGGGTCATGCCTTGAGTATTCGTAACGGCTGTTTAATTAGTTGATTTTTCTTTGATTCTTTATGCTCTGAAATCTCGTGTTCATCACGGTCTCACACGTCTTCCTTATGTTTTAGACCACACACGTGATTTGTGTGATAAATGAGTAAAAATGGTGGCATTTTGAGATTTAAAGGTTATGTAAAAATTTATATGGTTTGATCTCATTGTTTAATGTAAACTAGAGAACATTTGTTTTTTACACATTTCATATTGTAGCATACGGATCATTATGTTAAATACTTTACATTATTTTCAAGAAATAGTTTTATACGGAGTAAATGAATTTGTACACTCTTACACACATTTGTATGTAATTGTCTGTGCATATGGACAATGTGTATACCTATAATTGCATATGTATACCAGTATATAAGCAATTAAGACAACAATTATTTGTACACATGCAATTGTGTGCAAATGTGCGTAAGCCGTCAAATGTATACAAATTTTGTGTACACTTAGAATTGTTGTACTATCGTATTATGTTGGACTAGGGTTCTAAAAAGGGACGACGACATTCATCCCGGAGACCCCCAAAATTGACCCAATTATTTACAAGCACGTGAGTTGACTTTTTATCTCATGAAAAAAAGAGTGAAATTTCATTTCAAATTATTACTTAAGTTGAAGCAATGACCTCTCCTTTATGTAATTATGTCACACTCTTCATATCAGGTGTAGATTACAATACCCAATTTTCACAGGGTGTTTGGTGTAAATGATTTGCGGCAGTTGAGGAAAGAATGGTCCCACTCAATCCCAAAATTCATGATATTTATACAAAGCGTTAAAGAAGGGCATCATCATAATCAATGTGAACTAAACTGATGCTCCTAACAAAATTGGTGCAGAGGAGCATATATCCACAGAGATGGCGGATTATAGTAATAGGGAGGCAGGTCGGTGGCAGAGGGTCAACTTTCCGGCGAAGCCGCGGGGTTTTGGGACGGTGGTGAAGGCGAACCTGAAGGAGGTGCTCTTCCCGGACGACCCCTTCAGCGAATTCAAGCAGGGCGGCGGGGATCCAGCTTCCCGGTGGCGAGCGATAAGTAAGGGAGTGGTTCGGTATTTCGTGCCCATCTTCGAGTGGCTGCCGAGGTACAACCTGAAGCTGTTCAAGTACGACGTTCTAGCCGGAATCACCATCGCCAGCCTCGCCATACCTCAGGGAATCAGCTACGCCAAACTCGCCAACTTACCTCCAATCATTGGACTCTGTATGTAGTCTATAATGCTTTCTCACTTCCATTTTAACTTAAATATTTAGAATTTTGTGTTTAATTATATACCACGTATATCGGTATATAGAGCTCGTTTGGTAAATCTGAAATAAACAATTTTGAGTCGGTTGAGTTATGAAAAATTATTCTACCCGTTCGTTAAAACTTTGGCATCTCGAATTTTCTTGTCAATAGTAGTGTTAAATTTGGCCATTATACTTTTATAAGTTCTTATGAAAGTGTTTTGAATCAATATTATTTTCATATCATTTTTATATTGTAAATTATATCAGACATAACTATATCATTGATTAAAATTAATCTTGTATGATCTGAACTGGTTTAATTTCAAACTAGTTCACTTAGAAACATCTTAACTTTTGAATAGATATGAAGACAAATTAATTGATTGTACATTGAATTTGGTGATATACTAAGACCCCATTTGGTGATCCTGTTTTCCGCTTATTAGGCAATTTTTCACCAAATAAGTAATTTTTGATTTCATGCCCTGAATTTTGTAATAATAACAAAAAGTAAGGTTGCAGTTACTTTTCTAGCTGTATTGATTGACTTTATTATAGAGGATCATTTTAGCTATTTTCATACAATTTTTTCTTTATTTTATCAATAAAATATTTTTTAAATGTAATTGTTTCATAAATTAGGAGAATCGGCCAATTCATCCACTTCAACCAGAATTTCATAAATTTCTGCAGAATCAGCCACTACAGCCGATTTGGATATTACCAAACGGGCCTTAAGACTTCATTTCCCGTCTTAAAATTCAAATTTCACAAAAGGAAAGTAGTCTAATTAAACACTTGTATGTGATTTTGTAACTTTATAGTTGGCAGGTGACTAGGTGAGTGGAACGATTTGATATAAAATTCTCTGAATATTAATGTAAAAAAATTGTGTATTTTTTTTAAATTCTTTACATATAATACAAGTGTTTGAGTTTCATGAGTGTCATTACAAAACTTTAACTGAGAAGAGTGTCATTATGTAGTTTGATATGCTTGCAACAAAGCGGTTCACAAAATAATATAATTTGAAAATTTTGTCCCTTATTAAAATTTAACGGAACAAAATTACTTGTTGAATTTTAATTTGGTGACAACTCCGGTACCTATTTAAAAAATGAGGTACCGTACCTAGCATGGATTTGATTGGTCCAAATCATTATAAGCTTTTTAATTTAGATTTAAATAATTCAACTGCATTATTCTTATTGGTCCATGTGGACAAAGGTACGGTACATTTGGGGTACCATAGAATCTACCTTTTAGTTTACCCTGATACTTTGAATAATCCGTATTTATGATGGCGGAACAACAATCGGGTGCAGATTCGAGCTTTGTGCCGCCATTGATATACGCGGTGTTCGGAAGTTCGAAGCATTTGGCAGTGGGAACGGTGGCGGCTTCGTCGTTGCTCATAGCCGCCACAATTGAAGAAGTAGTGAAACCACAAGACAATTTGGAGCTTTATGTGAGCTTGGTCTTCACAGCCACTCTTGTCTCTGGTTTGGTCCAGACTCTTATGGGTGTTTTGAGGTAATTTCCTAATTAATTGCTCTGCATTTAAATGCCTAATTGTGTTTTTATTATGTTACAATATGTTCTGTACATTTTGTTTTGCAATATGTTATGTACATATGTGTATAAAGGTTAGGAATATTGGTGGATTTTTTATCGCATTCAACAATCACTGGGTTCATGGGAGGAACAGCCGTCCTGATATGTTTGCAACAGTTGAAGGGCATTCTCGGCTTGAAGCATTTCACAACCCATACTGATGTCATTTCTGTAATTCGTTCAATTTTCGCCAATAGAAATGAGGTTTGGCCTTCATCCATTCCCTTAATTTACTCTAATTACATTCATTAATTGAGTTAAGCCTCATGTGTATTGAATGAATTCACTATCATATGTTTAATTTTGATTAAAATGACAAATATTCCACTGACATACAAATAAGAGAAGTCAATGTTAATGGTAATAGTTTGACTTTCACGTTTGTTTTTTTTATCATCAAAATAAATGACTTAAATTTCTATTAAAGCATTCAGATAGAGGATAAAACGATAAAAGGATCACAGACAACCGACAACCCTCGAACCAAACTTAGAGTCAATCATTTTCAAAAAAACAATATAACTCGCTGATCCTATAATGAGCATAAATGAGCCAACGACGGTTAACACAGACCTCACATTACCCAATCTTAATGCAAGCGTCTTACACCAATAAAAACAACCAACAGAAAAAAACTATTTTGATTTTGCTTGAAAAAGAATTGGTTCCATACACTCCTATACAGTAGAACAAAATTACGATTAAAGTCTGTATGTGAATAATACAAAATTTAAAATGCCGCCAATTGGTTTTTATTTCACCCTACCTCACCGACCGGGCCTTTATTGACCGCGTTTAGACATTATGCCTGATAGGATGATACGTTTTAAAATAATCGAGGAGTCAACATACGTCTCTTCTTCAATTATTCCTTTGCTCACCTTTTGTCTTATTGAATATTACTCCGTAGCATATTGCATACTCCTTATACCTAGTACTCCCTCCGTCCCTGAATTATCTTCAAACTTTCCTTTTTCGTCTGTCCCAAAATTATCTCCTCTTTCCCCTTTTAGCAAAGAATTTGTGGTTCACAACCATTCTTACACATTCTTACACATTTCTCTCTCCTCTGCACAACTCTCCACCACACAAATCCCACTATCTTAATAAATGTGCCCAACCCAAATGGGAGAAAGATTAGGGACGGAGGGAGTACTATTTAGGACATGTTACTCCACGGGTTACTAAACAGTGTTTACTAAAACCCGCGTTAATAAGCGGCACATAAAATAAGCACATTGTAAGATCGTGTTTACTTCACAAGGTTTAAAACATCGTTTAACATTAAAATGTAAAAAATAACCCTATACATATATAGACACACAAACATTCATGAACACAAGTATTATATGTTCTTACCCATAACACCAACCCCTTTACCCCCACCCTGCCTTACCCCGACCCCACCCACCCCACGCCCCCCACCCCCTAGGCCCTTACCACCCCTACCCCCTACCACATCAGCCCCACACCGACCCCACCCTAACCTACCATACTCCTACCCTACCCTACCTTGACCCCACCATTACCCCGTTCTCGACCCCTAGGCCCTTACCACCCCCGCCCACTTACCCCCTAACCCCAGGGTAGGGTGGGTAGGGGGTAACAATAAGGGTAAGGGCAAGGGGTAAATTCGGAAACTGAAAAAGCTTAAAGTGCCGCTTAATTAATACATGGGGGGTGGTATGCTTAGTAAGCAACACTTTAAGCACCTATTTCAGTTAGTAAGCGGCTTTTTAAGCAGCGTGCATGTTTACTTCACCTGTCTTACTAACGTAACTGTGACTTTAGGAGCGAAGTAAACGCCTCCTTAGTAATACTATTACCTCCCTCCATTATCATTGAAATATGAGAAGATACAATAGGTATTAAGAAAAAGTTGATTTAAAATTGATAAAACAAGAATAAAATAAGAATACAAACTTTACCAAACTTAGTATATGATGTTTTTTGACGAACAGATCGAAAAGAAAAGATGAAGCAATCTTAGCGGAACAGTGGGAATAACAAATTAGGTGATAGCATATTAGCATTGTAAAACGTTTACTCTGTATATTACTACATAGTCCCATATTGGATCTCTCATTTTAGTTTGACACAATTTTTAATAAAATGGTTAAAAAACAAAAGTTGTGTATTGTTTTAATACAGTGAAATGATATGAATACCATATTTCTTGTCGAAAAAGGAAACATGATAATCAATTTTTAAGAAATTGCATGAATCTCTTTGACATGATCTAAGAAGTAGTTGCTTGGCCAGGCATCAACCCTTGTATCCAAGTAATTAAATTAGATTAGTTTATGGAATGCAAATTAGATTATCAATTCAATATTTATTACTCTGTAATTGCTTCCGTACCTGGCTGGCCTAAATAATTCTCAATTTTTTTATTACTTCATGATGACAGTGCAATTGGAAGTCAATTCTTATTGGAGTTATCTTCCTGGCTTTCCTACAATCAACTAGATATTTGGTAAGTGTCCCTTCACACTGAAAAAGTGTACATACACTACATTATTAGCAATGATGCTTGATGTACACATCCTTATACTCATCTTATATTCATCATGTTTGTCAAAGTTTGTTTTTTGTCTGTGTATCCGGCACATATTTTGTCTGTATAAATTTTGCACTAACAAATATTGTCTGTGAACGGAACTCACAACAAAAAAAAGCCTTGCACAAACATGGTGGGTATAAATATGAGTATAAGGGTGAATAGAGATATCTTTTTTGCATTATTACTCCATATTCTTTTTAAAGTAGGAAGTGATCACGCTCCCTAAATATAAGTAAATCATTACCATTCTCAAAATATAGTCATACTTCATAATATGATAATATTAATGCAACAATTGACCAACACTTTGCAAGACTGGTAGGAGTAGTAATTACTCATATATACTCCGTATTTTTTAATATATGGTATTGATATTAAGATAAAATAATCTAAAGATAAAATAATCTGAACCACATATTCTTTGTCATAAAAGAAAAGAAGAATTTACATTAGAAAAGAAAGTGGCATTTATTATAGGATGGAGGGAGTATCATTTATCTTAGCTTGTAATCATTAATTATTATAAAATACTTGTAAATTTTATTGTTTTTTAGAAAAAGAAGAAACCAAGACTATTTTGGGTCTCAGCCATAGCTCCATTGCTGACCGTCGTTGTTGGCTGCTTATTTGCCTTCTTTGCTCATGCGGACAAACTTGGGATCCAAACTGTAACCCTTCTCCACCCTTTCATATATGTTCAATTCCTCCATATACTTTTTGCGACATTACTACTATTATTATGATGACGATGATGTTGTAATGGTTATTTTTATGATTATATTTGTTATTATTATTATTACTATTATTATTATGACAACAATGAATTGAACAAAATAATAATAATCATTTTGTTATAATAATATCTTAAAATTATTTTAGTAATAACGTTGAGAATATGCTTTCTTAGCTTGTAGAAGCGTTCCTTGAAGTCTTGAACGACGGTCATCAAGATAACAAGGGCTCCAACAATGATATTATGATAATTTTTATTCATTGATAACAATTACTATCGTGCTACGGATTTTGTTATAATGTTGACAAGGAAGCATTTTTGCATTTTTGAATTTAAGATAGTTATTATATATGAGTGCGAGTATATATGGTGTCATCGTAGGATATATTCTCATAAGAACCGTCTCCTATATATATATATATATATATATATAGACTTTGGATCAAATAAAAAGTGGTTTCTAGATGAAAAATAAGAACTAATCTTGGCCATTGATGTGAAAAAATGGATGGAAGAGATCAAATTTTAAGTTGAAAACGCGGTGGCATTTTGGTAATTATGATGATCTTTGAATGAAATTATTGTAACAAATGTGTACGAGGAATTTCAAAAAGTGCAAATGTAGAGCCAAAAGGTGCATTACGGTACATAATAAAATCTGCACAAATTAAAAGCAAATTAACAATCTTTTTATCACTTATGAGTACACTTTTGTTCATTATCTATCCACTTTATATTATAAACGTTTGCACTTTTTTGACAACGTGTATTGTGATTAAATTTCATCTAGTCCATCCATTTGCAAGTGATTAAAGGCCAAGATTTGTTCTCACTTTTCATGGAAAGACTACTTTTTACTTGATACATATATATATATATATATATAGAAATATTCAGGTCAGGTATACCTGACCACTGCCCCCGTCCGGCCTCCTCCATTTGGGGGTCTTCCCGATGGTATTTTTTGCTCCAATTTTTTGTGTAGGTTCCTCATTAAGTCTAGTTTATCCATACCAAATTTCAGCCAAAAATTCAATCGGGAAGGTTGTCAAATGATTTTTGCAAGTTAACTGGTCCGGAATATGTATTTTCCGGACCAGTTAACTTGCAAAAATCATTTGACGACCATCCCGATTGAATTTTTGGCTGAAATTTGGTATGGATAAACTAGACTTGATGAGGAACATACACAAAAAATTTGAGCAAAAAATACCACCGGGAAGGCCCCCAAAAGGAGGAGGCCGGACGGCGGCTCCGGTCAGGTATACCTGACCGGAAGATTACTCATCTATATATATATATATATATATATATATGTATCAACACATGTATATGCGTATATTTAAATGTGTACATATGTGTGTATTCATATGTAATAAATAAATCCTAACCCACTCTATGCATAATAATTTCATTCCTATATATCAAAATCAATGCAGGTGGGAGAGCTAAAGAAAGGAATAAACCCTCTTTCCATACAAAAGTTGAACTTTGATCCTAAGTACATATCTGCACCTATTAAAGCAGGAACCATCACAGCCATGATAGCTCTTGCAGTATGTCCTGAAAAATAAAGAAAATAATAATAATAAATCTTTATTCTACATTAAAGTCGAATTGCTTCACCTCTGTTTCTTTATAAAATACTATAGGAAGGAATAGCAATTGGAAGAAGTTTTGCCATCATGCAAAATGAACAAATTGATGGTAATAAGGAGATGGTTGCCTTTGGACTGATGAACATTATTGGCTCTTTCACCTCTTGCTACTTAACCACTGGTACCAGCTTATTTATTTTAATTTCATATAATCTTACACAAACACAAACATGTGGCTTCTGGTCTCTATTGCTGTTGTTGTACGATATGTATATCTCTTCACGTAAATATAATACACTTTCTCATGATTTCTGACTAGGTCCGTTCTCGAAAACAGCGGTGAATTACAACTCAGGATGCAAGACAGCCATGTCAAATGTTGTAATGTCCATATGCATGTGTCTAACCTTATTGTTCCTTGCCCCAGTCTTTAGCTACACTCCTCTTGTCGCGCTCTCGGCGATCATTGCATCGGCTATGATCGGACTGATCAAGTGCAAGAAGTTCTACTATCTATACAAGACAGACAAATTTGATTTCTTGATTTGTATGGTGGGGGCACTTGGTGTTGTCTTCATTAGCATGACCTACGGCCTCGCCTTATCGGTATACGCACCATCATACTTGTTGTTATCCCGTAATAAATATTGCATGCTTGGTATATTAAGTCACATTCTGTCATTTTTATCTCAAATAAAGCATAAATGTATGTGTGTACAAGAGATTTAATTAACTTTTTAAAAGGGTGGTTATTGATAATTTTGCAGATAGGACTGGCTTTAGTTAGGGCACTTCTATATATAGCAAGGCCTCCTTCCTGCAAGCTTGGAAAGATGCCAGAGACTGGAGTATTTTGTGATGTTGAACAATACCCAGGTGCAATTGGAACCCCAGGCATTTTAGTTTTGCAACTTGGTTCTCCATTGTACTTTGCAAATGCGAATTACGTTAGGGAAAGGTATCATCATAACATACTTTGATTTTCATATGTTCTCTGTTTGATGGTAGAAGTAGATAAACTGATTGATAGGAATGATAAAAGTCGACCTGAGTTCCATTTCTAACAAGTCTACATATTTCACATATATGTAGATATATGTACCTGTGTATGTAGATACAACAACAAAACTACTGAGTTCCATTTCTAACAAGTCTACATATTTCACATATATGTAGATATATGTACCTGTGTATGTAGATACAACAACAAAACTACTGATTCGTATATATGCATTAGTCTAAACCATTGGAAATAAGATTAAACACTTTTATAAAGGTTCATTCAATAAAAGTTGTCAAGTTTGCTCATGTTTACTATTCAGTTTCAAAAATAGTACCTATTCTTATGTGGGTGGTGCCTAATGTGTATGAGTGTGTAGATGCATATAAGCTTCAGATGAATTTTTTATTAAGAAGATTTTATAATCTTATACTCCGTATATGGAAACTTTGTACTGGGAAAGATTTGATTTTTTGATATAATTTTTTTTACAATCAATGTATAATTGAATTGACAATTCTTTTGATGTGGTTGTATGAGGAAGAATTTTAAGATGGATCAGGGATGAACAAGACGTTTCGAAATCTAAAGGACCACACATTGAATATCTACTGCTAGAGTTTGGAGGTAATTGGATTATGAGATCTTTCCTAAAAGAATAAAAGATGCATATGAGATTTATTCATTTGCTTACCTATGGATTTTAAAGAGTTTCTTCTTTGAACTTTGCATGCTCAGCCATTACCTCAATTGACATAACGGGCGTTGAAACTTTGCTTGAAATCAGAAGATGTTTAGAAGCAAAAGGAATTAAGGTACTTCACAACCCTTATCATTTTCCTACCTCAATCAATTAAAAAAGAATTTAAAAAAGAATGAATTAAAAGAAAATTCATATATTTCGTTCACAACCCAATTTTCAGATGATTCTGATCAACCTGAGACTTGGGGTGATGGAGAAGTTGATACTAACAAAGTTTATGGATGTGATTGGTAAGGAGTCTGTTTTCTTATCAATTGAAGATGCAATTGATGCTTGCAACTTTGCAATGAGAGCTATTTCAAGTTAATTCAATTGAAAACCAAGCTTGTATATTGTATGACATAGGCCCAAAAAGTGGAGGATAGGTGTCTTTTGTACATATGTTTTATAATTGATGTCCAAAAGTTTTTATTCTTCCTATTCTTCCTATTATGCTTATAAGTCATAGATATAATTTATGTCAGTATGTGTTAGTGCTAATGTGTAGTCAGGTACGTAGATTTTATCTCCAAGCATGTATATATAGTCATATAAGTATTATAAATTAATAATACTCCGTATATTTTATGTCAATTTAACTTTTTTTTATCATCAAAACATGTCTCTATTCATATCAAAAGATTCATCAGGATCTTTACATCAAGCAAAGGGAAAATAAAACAGACACCAACTGAAACTCCAACAACTACGACTGTTACCCTATGATGAGACTTTGAGACGGTCACCCCTGAGAGAGCAACACGAATCGCTAACCATGTAGTGGGCTTGACACAGCCAAAACTATTCCCATAGATCCAACCATACCCAATGACATAAAGAGAGACAAAAACTCAAACAAACTGTCAAACCCAACAACAAGAATGGACGCAAGAAAACAAATAACAAAAAGATAAAAACTACAAGAAAAACGTTCACGAATTCTAGCACCTCGTGCATCCCATGGTGGTGGTTCAGGAGGAGGTCGTACCACTGGTACCATGCTAATTGATCCATTATGACCTTTGACTGCCAAAGACCATGCATCAATCCTCCGTCCCTGCATAACCAAACTCATCCCTGCTCCGTGCGACCAAAGTAAGCGGACAGGCAGCGCCGATCTTCTCCAACGACGACACCAATGCCGCATCCTCGAAACTTGACCACACCGCCGATCTCCTCGAGCCATGACAACAAATCTGCCCTCCTCCACCGATCTCCGCCCTCCGCGTCTGACCTGGACTCCAGTCGAGCACCAGCGACCAAGGGATAACAAAACCGATCTTCGATAAAGTCGAAATCAGAAAAAGGCTCCAGCGGCTGACATAGTCAAAGCCCTAGAGAGAAAAACTCGTGATCGCTCTACCTTAGCCAAAAGCATACCAGGCGGCTGCCCTAGGAGGCTAGGAGAAACGATCTGGAAGTCATACGATTGATACGATTTTCTATTATGTCAATTTAACTTTAGTAAGCTAAAAATTAACAAATCTAATGTTAAAAGTTGTTATAAATAGCTAATAAATAGCAGGACTTAAGAATTAAGATAGCTAACTACCTAACTGTTTAAAATGTACTCCGTATAATAATTATTTATCAAAAAATCAATTATACTTTTTAATCAAATTTATAAATAAGTTTCAAAAAAAAATCAAATTTATAAATAGATTCTGGAATGAATTAAAACACCCTCATCACTACTAGCCTACTAGGATGTTCAACGGTTCAAGTACAAATGTGTATAATACTACTCCGTATATTAGTGATTCTCAATGTACTACATACTTCAATTCCCGAATAAGTTGATCTCGATAGCTTCTTTCAAATCCCGCAAAAGTAAGATTTTTTTAGTATCACCCCAATAAAGGAATGAAATCCAGGTAGAATGAATTGAAGTTTTGATGATCTGCTCAAGTGATGGTGAAAACAAGAAAACTTCTTTCAGATTCTTTGGTATGTAGACGTTTAAAACTTGTTTTGATTTTGCTAGTTGCCACGATAACTATTGAGAGATGATTTTCAACTATTAAAATAGTGAAAACTAATTTGCATTATAGAATCGGTGATTAGTTTTTGAGTGACCATCTAGTTTATTATTTTGTAGAAAGAGATCTATTTGAGACAATCACAAATAAAATTGTAATATTTCAAAAGACGAAAACTCGAATAGAGCAAGAGCATTTGTGATATATTTACTTTATCACGTAGTAGTTTGTTGATATTGTAATATACTCCGTACTTTATTTAGTTTTGAAGTTCTCATGTACTTTGTTACGAGTTTTGCTATTCATATATATATGAATAGCACCTCGTGCATCCCATGTACTTTATACGAAGTACTCTGTATTATATTATCTTTTTTATTCATGTACTTCATTTCTATTTTGCCTCCAATACTTTTATTTCCTGGATCTGCCACCGGATATAAACAAGGTAGAAGTACCGTTCAACACTTTAACCGATGTCTTAAAAAAAGTAAACTGGATTGATGGGGTCGATCTAATTACCTTGGCGAAAGCTCAAAATAAGATACTCCGTACTACGTACTTATGAAGTTGCAATTTAAGTTTAAATTAAATAAAAGAAAATACGATGGCTTATATATATAGTTTAACAATGGTAATACATTACAATGATATAAAGCACTCATCGGGTGTGTTTGGAAAATAGTGTTACACTCAAATGACCATATTAGGCGTTATCACATACCTGTTCAGCTGCCTTACCGTTTTGCATGAAATGGAAACACCGAAACACTTTCAAATAGAAGTCTTTGGGGTTGTTTGGAACTGATTCTGCTTCTGCTTCTTTTTTAAAGTAGAAGCAGAATCAGAATCAGTTTTGAGAAGCTGGTACTTACCAGCTTCTAAAAAAACTGATTCTGAGAGTAAATTAGAGCACCAGATAGTGATGGACCCGGGCCGGGCCGAGTCGGGCCTCGGGTCTGGTATAGGTAGGCCCGGGACCGGCCCGGGCTATGGCCGGTTCCGGTTCGGGCCGGGCCACCCGGCCGGGTCACGGGTCGGGCCACCCGCCGGGCCGGGCCACCCGCCGGGCCGGGCCGGTTCATTATATTTGTTTTTAATAATTATATATTATACAAATTCCTATTAAAAACAAAGTTCAAGTGCACTTATTTGAAAAAATAACTACATTTGAGAATTGAGATGAGTAGAGAGTAGGATTTAAGAAGAGTTGGAGAAGAGGTGTGAAAAAATGTTTAAAATTAGGAGTATTTATAGTTTTTTTTAACCCCACCCCCCCACCCCCCAAAGGCCCCGGACCCCCCTGGTACCCACCCAACGGCTATATAGCCGTTTGGGAAGTGGGTCAAGTGCTCAAAAGGCTTTTTTAATTTAAAAGGATTTTTTTTTAAAAAAAAAAAATTGGACCGTTAGGCCCAGGCCCGGGCCCGACCCGGCCGGGCCTCCAAAAACTACCCCGAGCCCGGACCCGCCACCCCCACCGGTTCGGTGCCCGAACCGGACCCGGACCCGAGAACCGGGCTGGTTCCGGGCCCGCACAGTAACTGGCCGGGCTGGTTCTGGGCCCCCACAGTAACTGGCCGGGCCGGGCGGCCTGAACCGGGTCCACCACTAGCACCATACCAGAAGTGCTTCTGGAATTTCACCCAAACACTCCAGCTACTGCTTCTGCTCTCTAAAGCAGCAGAATCAGTTTTGAGAATCAGATCCAAACACCCCCTTTATCGTTTAGTGTTTTGAAACGATGCATGTGGTTTCCTCATCTCCTAGGAAACTTCCTTAATATGGAGAAGATCATTGAAATTTATACTTGTACTAGATTCTTTACCCGTGCGTTGCACGAGATGCATATGTTATATGTTTAACTATGTCATTAGATGACAGCGGGGATCTAATGAATAGTTTAACTAACTCGGATTTACATATGTTAAAAACTTGGGATGGATTTTTCAGAGCACAAAGTTTGATAAAGTTGGGATCACTTCTTACTAACAAAAATACTTGTCATTAGATATATAAATATTTTGTTAGGTATTTGTGTTTATAGAATATAATTACACAGGATCCAAGCAATTGAGGAACACTAAAAATGTTACCGATCAATCTTTTGTAAACATCCAATAAGCAAAAACATTAATTGATAGGGTAGCTTTAAAAATCAAAATTTTCACATTATAATTACTAATTGCTAATTATTAATTTACATATTATTGTTTAGAGAAAATGAGTATGAAATCATTAAATGTCTGATTGTAGGGAAACGCAAGCTACACCATGTTATTTTATATTATTATAGAAGACTATTATTACTATTATTACTATTATTACTATTACTATTACTATTACTATTACTATTACTATTACTATTACTATTACTATTACTATTACTATTACTATTACTATTACTATTACTATTACTATTGCTATTGCTATTGCTATTGCTATTGCTATTGCTATTGCTATTGCTATTGCTATTGCTATTGCTATTGCTATTGCTATTGCTATTGCTATTGCTATTGCTATTGCTATTGCTATTGCTATTGCTATTGCTATTGCTATTGCTATTGCTATTGCTATTGCTATTGCTATTGCTATTGCTATTGCTATTGCTATTGCTATTGCTATTGCTATTGCTATTGCTATTGCTATTGCTATTGCTATTGCTATTGCTATTGCTATTGCTATTGCTATTGCTATTGCTATTGCTATTGCTATTGCTATTGCTATTGCTATTGCTATTGCTATTGCTATTGCTATTGCTATTGCTATTGCTATTGCTATTGCTATTGCTATTGCTATTGCTATTGCTATTACTATTGCTATTGCTATTACTATTACTATTATTATTAATATATTATACCTTGTTACTTTATATTATTAACACTTGTTTATATTATTATTAAATGTCCAATTAGACCATGTTTAAGCAAGATGCTACACCTTGTTACTTTATATGGGAAAATGGTCAGATAGGCCATCGAACTTACATAAAAAGTTCAAATAAGCCCTTATATAGGAGGCTCTATCCGGCCGTCGCCATTTGGGACGATTCCCGGTGGAATTTTTTGATTAAATGTTTTGAGCATCTTATTCATTAAGTCCAATTTACTTTTACCAAATTTCAGCTAAAACTTGAATCAGGAAGGCATTCAAATGAATTCTTGAAGATAACTGCGTTTTTAATAAGTCGAGGGCCTATCTGGCCCTTTTACCTACTTTATATTATTATAGACTTTATGTTATTATAGATTATTATTATTATTATTTTGAATTGAAAATATTCCAATTACTCCAATATTCATGTAACTCTTATTTTTTAATGGGTATGAAGCATTAAATGTCTAATTGGAGGAAAAGAAAGGTCCTACACCTTATTACTTTATATTATTATAGATAGACTTTATATTATTATAGATTATTATTATTTTGAATTGAAAATATTCCAATTACTCCAATATTCGTGTAACTCTTATTTTCTAATGGGTATGAAACATTAAATGTCTAATTGGAAGGAAAAGAAAGGTCCTACACCTTGTTACTTTATATTATTATAGATAGATAGATTTGGAATTGAAAATATTCCAATTACTTCAATATTCATGTAACTCTTATTTTTTAATGGGTATGAAACATTAAATG